CCAAATATCCACGTGTCAGTTGTTAACTATGTTGATCATCATCTTCCAAACTGAAGAAACAAATTATCACTATTCTTGATATTATTATCTTTTCTTCTCTGCTCTCCAACTGTCACTCTTCCCTGCGCCGGCCGGCCACCATCCTCCGCCGTTAATTCATTTTCCGGTGACAGTCTTCCACCTCATTTTTACCCACTTCCCCTAATCTTACAGGATGATAGCTATTTCGAATTCTTTGCTTTTATCAACAACCCCTTCTCTGCATTTCACTTCTGGTAATTCTTTAAATCTTGTAAATTTTACATTTTTATTCATGGGGTTTGGATTATTTGTTGTAATTTGCTGTTTTTGATGCACCCTTTATGGTAATTTAGAATATGGTGTGTTGATTAGTTGGTATTTGAGCTTAATTTACCCTGTGTATTCACTAATCGAGCTTCGTAATAGCATAATTGAATGATTATTTCAAGATTTGTGTTTTGTTCTCTACTGATTTTAGTTTTGATATGCTTTACTTGAGTCGAGGGTCTTTCAAAGTCTGTCTCTCTACCTTCACGAGTACAAAGTAGGGGTAAGGTAGGCCGTAGGCCTACGCACCACCCTACTCTGACCTTACTTGTGGGATTACACTGTGTTGTTGTTGTTCTCTACTGATTTTAGGTTTGAAATGCTTTACTTGAGCCGAGAGTCTAGCCTCTCTACCTTCACAAGCATAAGGTACGTGTAAGGTATGTGTACACATCATCCTCCCCGGACACCACTTCTGTGATTACACTAGGTATGTTGTTACCTACTGATTTTAGCATTGGTAGGGTAATGTCTGCGTACACACCACCCTTCCCAAACCCCACTTGCGGGATTACGTTGTGTATGTTTTTGTTGTTGTTTACTGATATTAACTGTTAAAGTAGTAACCTAACTGCTGCATAGAGTATTTTGTGTCTCGAAAGAACTTGAGAACTTAGCTAAGAACAAAGTGAAATTGCCTCAATAGCTATAGGTTAGTTGGGATAGAGGATCTCTGTTGTTGTTATACCTCCGTTAAGTTGTTTTTTCGCTCTGATCAGAGACTTGTATGTGATAAGTGTGACATATATGGAACATCCAGTTTTAAGGAACACCAATTTGCTTTAAAAACTAGGTGATTTCTTTTGATAGTCTTGTAGTCAGAGTTGTTGGGTACAACTCTAGGTACCTGAGTTGGTGGGAGATAGCAGGTATTAGGTGGAATTAGTCAAGGTGCACAAGTTGTCACTATCATGAAAAAAATATTCATGTCCTCCATATTATATGGTAGTGTTTTGCTGGATACGAAATTTAAGAAATAGAGAAACACTATCCTTAGATTGCACTACCTTCGTTTCAACATTCTTATTTTATCCTTAATGACACTCTTATAGGAATGACAAGTTTAAGATACAAGATCCAAAGGATAGTTTTAGTATGTTAACATCTCTAATTTAAGTCCACAAGATTCAACAGTTTTCCAAACATTCTTAAATTTTGTGTCTGGTTGAACTAACACATGAATATGATTGGTTTTAGTAGTACATGATCATATGTTGCATTGATGGCTCCCTCTTTCACCCAAACCTACATGAGTGATGTGGTATAAGTCCAGTAACTTTATCAATGTGCTAGGATCTAGTTTGAAGTCGGCAGATAAAAGTGTCAGGGGCACCACCAAATTGGCCTTCAGTCGTAGGCATGGAGGAAAATCATCCTCATCTAGAAGATCATTAACCGTGCAAGCAGAATATAGGTATTGCTTCTCCTCTTCTTACGTTCTCTACTCGTATGCAACTTATACATTGATGATATATCACACTTCTTTTTGTTTGGTTGTCACACTCACTTGTCTTTCAGGTAGATGATATTTTCATCTGAATAAGTTAATGTGAGCTATAATTAAACCAAATCAACTCAAAAGAACCTTCCTGGTCCTTCAATTATTTAGTTTGGTCTGACCGTTGTTCTGCAAAACTATAAATCCAATTGATTCCTGAGTGACAGAAACAAACCTGGCTCTTTCCATTAAATAGGAAAAAGATTGTTGTAGTTTTGTTTCTTTCATACATTGGTGATCCACCGATAGGAGAACATACTTTATGGGTTGTTTGTCTTTCTTGTCAATTGGCAGTGATGGTGGAAGGCCAAGCAATTCAAGCATCTTTGTAGGTGGCTTTCTTTTAGGAGGAGTAATCGTTGGTGCACTTGGTTGTATCTTCGCACCAGAGGTAATCATTCTAAGTTAAAACTAGCTTATTTTCGGGTAAAGTGCAGTAGCACTTGTATTAGTCACTGCCTTTGGTCGTCTTTGCTCGTTAAATACTTGTGAATTTGCGACATCACTCATTGATAAATGCCTTCTCTGCATTTCTTCTCTTGCGGTGTACCTGGGAGCAGTAATCTGACTGCCTTTTAATTTCTCTTCTACAGATAAGCAAGGCATTAGCCGAAACAGATAGGAAGGACCTCATGAGAAAATTGCCCAAGTTTATATATGATGAAGAAAAAGCATTGGAGGTAAGTTAATATTATGTACGTCTTTTATTAGGAAGCAGTAAGAGAGAGAAATAGTGTCTTTTATTTTGTGGTGCATGCACGCACTTCGTGTGAGTGTAGACACACACAACAACCCACATATTATATATCAGAATCCTCCATTCTGGCTGAATAAATCTCTCCTTTTAAGTGTAATACTCTTAGTTGTAGCTATCTGTTGCTTTTGAGTCTTCCTTCCTCGATCTTCACCTATAAAGATTTAAGGTGATGGGCAATGGTCCTGAATCCTGATTGCTGAGATTTGGTGCTTCGCTACTTCTGTATAACTAGCTACCGCTATCCGCTTCAATTGGTTCTCCTAAGTAGTATTTTAGTTGGACAAAAGGGTGATGATAGAGTTATTTGTTAGTTTATGTGAGTTCCGTTATGTAGTCATGAACTTATGAGACGAAGTACCTTGCAAGAGATGTAAAGACAAAGGCTAGAGAAAATACTCTGGGACCAGTCACTGCTAAGTTTTTGATAACCTTGGTGTCCCGTCTAGCTTACACGCACCTCGATTAAGTCCACGGGATACTTTTCACTTCCCACTAGCAAGTACCATGTAACTTTGTCCACTAAAGTTAGGATAAATGAGAAGAAATCACCTTGTGTTTTTTGTCTCCCTTGGATTTGAACTTGAGACCTCGTGGTTCTTACCCCACTTCATTGACTATTGGGCCACACCTTTGGGTGAAGATGTTCTACGGTTTTAGAACTAAAGTGTTATTTGATTACTACTTAAACGATGCTTTGACACTCCCTTTTTAGAAAGCTTTCGTTTATCTATACATAGATGCTACTCAATTGGTCTTCTTATTTTTTATTTTTGTTAAGTAAGATGTTTCATTACTGGCATCTAGGAGATGCAAAACATACAACAGTAGCAAATGTTAGCTCCATTATAATGTGACTCTATTCAATCTCGGGGAGCTAACCAAAAGACGATGTTTTTCTTGGTCTTTAAATGAACCTAGTTAGGTGATCTATACTAGTATGTCGTGCTTTCTTCTCCACAGTTTCTCTCTCTTTGTCTATTGCAAGAAAGAGGAGCAGGCTTGTTGCATCAAACCTATCACCTTTATCTGAGTTTGTTACTTTGCTTGAATCATATAGCTTCCGGAGGTTACAAAAAAAGCTGCCGAAGGACTAAAGAACTAAGTTTGAGAACAATATTCTTATTCCTGTTTTACGTTTTTCTAATGTATGCATGCTGTTTCGTCTGCAGAAACAACGCAAGATACTAACGGAGAAGATTGTCCAATTGAATGATGCTATTGACGACATCTCCAACCAGTTGAGGTCCGGGGATGCAGAAAATGGAGCTGCAGTGAACCTAGATGAAGTTGAAAGTGTTGTATAAACAACACTTCAATTGGTTTTCATGTAAATGGATAAACTTTCTGAAGACATTGATCAAATTCCAAGAGCATTGTATCTGGACTATTTGAAAACTACATTACCATTAAATATGAAGTGAAAATACAAGTTTAACATAACACACGGATAATTAAGTGGGAGAACAGTCGAAACGTTTGGTGAATTTGCTATCATTCACCAGCAAATTCCATTGGTTTACCAAGTATCTGTTACCTTCCACGAGCACAAGTATCGAGTAACTTGCAAGTGATTGGTTATTGAATCACAGAGGACCACTGGTGTTTTGTGGATAGAGTTCTTTTCTATACCAAAAAAAATATTATCCTTCTGCAAGACCATCTCTAAATTGTCCTGTCCTCTAATGAATGGATAGTGGTATTATTCTTGTACTACTTCTCCAGTTGCCCAGAATAATGCCAAACAAAATAATTAAATATTCCCTCCTTTTCATTTTTGGTGATGGTTTTTCACTAAACATGTAAAAAAATAAAATTAAAAAGGATTTTTGTTTTTGAAATTTGTGATTCTTTTAAAAAGAATTATAATTGTGGTGTTTGAGTCAATTTGTTCGCAAGTTGGCTAACTCCACCAGGTTCTTGCTATCTTTCATCAATATAAGTATTAGGTAACTCTATCTATCAAGGTTTTGAACAAATGAAACGAAATCATCTAGTTTTTTTAATCTCTGAAGATTTGAACCTGAGACGACTTCGTGATAGATATTTGTGGTAACAAACATGTCAATATAAGGTGAAGTCGTTCTGGTTGAAGTAAACTAAAAAAGAAAGAGTGTCACATGCGTTGCTATCACTTTGCTCTTTGTGATGCATTTTCTTAATGTAAAATGATGGGAAGGATGTTTTAATTTGTTTCCACAATTATGGTAAGTAAATAAGGATAACATGAAATTTTCCAATAATTTGTGGTTGAGATTGTTGATGATGATCAAGGTGGAAAAAAAAATACATACATATATACATGAGGACATAGATCATCTTATCTCTTATCAAATCTTGATGATGCACCACTCATTTGAACCTCAATTTGTAACCAAAACTTAATTTCAACAATTTTAAAAAAAAGTAAACTTGAAAAGTATATATATATATCAAAGGATTCAAGTAGTTTTTGTCAAATATACAAAACCATGGCTTCTCATGCAGCTTTGGCTCCTTCAAGAATTCCTACAAGCACAAGGCTTCTATCTAAGAACTCTTACTCTTTCCCTACTCAATGCTTCTCTAAGGTCTTTACTTTTTCTCCAAATAAAATTCGAAAAGAAAGAAGATTCTTTCTTCTAGTAAATGTGTTGTTGTTAATTTATCTGTTGTTTTTTTTTGTAGAAATTTGAAGTAGCAGAGTTCTCTGGTCTTCGATCGAGTGGATGTGTGACATTTTGTAACAAGGAGTCTTCCTTCTTTGATGTTGTGTCTGCCCAACTCACTCCCAAGGTAAGCATCTTTACTCTACTCAGTAAAACATCTGCTTTAGACCGCGAATCAAAACACTAAACATAACAGAATATTGATCTTTTCAATACTTATGACTATACACTCTTTCCTCATTAGTCTATTCTGAGAAGAATGACATATTTCTATAGTTGGAACTTTTTCACCATAACGTCTCGTTTTACTGTTATTGGCATGTTCTTATAGCCGTAGAAATATCATGTCATGTTTAAACGTAACAAGCTCTATTAAGTTTTTTATTTTTTCACCTACACTTAGTACATACTCAAACATTGTCATATAGAGTGAAACATGAGATGAGAAATCCAGTGTTTCATCACTAAGATATCAAATAGTAGTCTCCAATTCAAGGTGTGTACTGTTTTCACTGCTAATAACCAATTTGGTCTCGAGGCAAGGAATAACCAGTTACGTTAAAAGATGTAGTTAAAACAGCCAGAACCAAACCAATGACTTAAGTCAATTCACAAGGGTACGAAATAAATGTAGGATCATCATTCATCAATTTAGGGCCTAAATGAAGTTCTGACCATCTATCATAGAAAAATTTAACGGAAAAATAGTAGTGTTTTGTACCTTTTTTCCTGAAACTCATTTACTTTTATCCCAAATTAGACCACAGGATCAGCAGGACCTGTGAAAGGAGAAACTGTTGCCAAATTGAAGGTTGCCATCAATGGTTTCGGACGAATTGGCAGGAACTTCCTCCGTTGTTGGCATGGACGCAAGGACTCACCATTGGATGTCGTTGTCGTCAATGACAGTGGTGGTGTCAAGAATGTGAGCTTTACCTACAAAAGATCAGCACATTTATAGCAATTGTTGGTTTTACTATCAAATTTTTCGCGGTCCAATGCTAAATGTATTGCAAATATTATGTTAATGCAGGCATCTCACTTGCTTAAGTATGATTCCATGTTGGGAACATTCAAGGCTGATGTGAAAATAGTGGATAATGAAACCATTAGTGTTGATGGAAAGAACATTAAGGTTGTCTCTAGCAGGGATCCTCTTAAGCTTCCATGGGCTGAACTTGGTATTGACATTGTTATTGAGGTAAACTACTTGTACCAAATTCTGATAAACGACACGTTAATAGCATTTTTGATCCCTCGGTTATTGGTAGATTCTACTTTTAGTACTTGTAGTATCTGAGCCGAGGGTCTATCAGAAATAGTCTCTCTACCTTCACAAGTTTTTGTTGTCTTGTTGTAATATCTGATCAGACACACAAGTTATAGCAGAATTATTAACCATTCCTATTACCGATGTGTTAAGCTAAACTTGTACGATTACTCAACTAGTCGGATTTTATGCTAGTTTAGGAATCATTAACACATCTAATAGCTCTCGATTTCATGCTAATATACATAATTAATGTAGCGAATGTCATAATTCATCCCATCATAACATTTGACTGATGCATACATATGTTGCTTGAACCCTTCAAAAATGTTGTCAGATGTGTGCCTGATCCTCCAAAAGTTACTCATTATTTGCTTAACGAGATAAAATCAACCAAGATTAAACTTGTTGAGATTGATCGATAACAGGTCCAGCACTTCAACATGATGAATCCTGAGAAAAGATACCTAATAATGTTGTTTGAAAACTCACAGGGAACCGGTGTGTTCGTTGATGGTCCGGGTGCTGGGAAGCACATCCAAGCTGGTGCCAAGAAAGTTATCATCACTGCTCCAGCAAAAGGTGCTGATATTCCTACCTATGTTGTTGGAGTGAATGAACAAGACTACTCTCATGAGGTTGCCAATATCGTAAGGTCAGTGCAATTTATGTGAACGTGTTTGACTGAACACATAGTTCAAGAAATAAAGTGAGACTTTTGAGAAAAGGATCATTCTTTTTGGGACTGACTAAAAATGAAAGAGTGTCATATAAATTTGGACGGAGGGAGTATATTTAATGTTCAAGAAGACATCGAATTAATGTTCTACCTTTATAAATGCAGCAATGCCTCGTGCACCACCAACTGCTTGGCCCCTTTTGCAAAAATCCTGGATGAAGAATTTGGTAAGCAGCAGATCAATACTGTTGAAAACATTGTTCAAATTTATGTGGTTTTAAGTGTTCGACTATTTATATCATTGGAAACAGACTCTCTACCTTCACAAGGTAGGGGTAAGACTGTGTACACACCACCCTCCCAGACCTCACTTGTAGGATTACGCTGAGTATGTTGTTTGACTATTTCCATTCACTTTGAAGGTATTGTTAAGGGAACCATGACAACAACTCACTCTTACACCGGAGATCAGGTAATCATGATATACGATACAAAAGGGGAATTTGTGAAACGTGCACCTTATAATGACACTGAATAGATTTGATTATGTTGTATGCAGAGGCTTCTGGATGCATCACACCGTGACTTGAGGAGAGCGAGAGCTGCAGCATTGAACATAGTCCCGACCAGCACTGGTGCAGCAAAGGCTGTGTCTCTAGTGCTACCTCAGCTCAAGGGAAAGCTCAATGGAATTGCTCTCCGAGTGCCAACACCTAATGTTTCAGTTGTTGACCTTGTTATCAATGTTGAAAAGAAAGGACTTTCAGCTGAAGATGTCAATGCAGCTTTCAGAAAGGCAGCTGACGGTCCGTTGAATGGCATATTGGCTGTTTGTGATGAGCCTCTTGTGTCAGTTGACTTCCGATGCAGTGATGTTTCCACCACCATTGACTCCTCTTTAACCATGGTTATGGGAGACGACATGGTCAAGATTGTCGCTTGGTATGACAACGAATGGGGATACAGGTAAACTGAACACAATCATTTCACCTACTTATACAACCAACCTGAAAACTCATTTACATTAAAAATACACATGCATAAGCACACATATACCGTTGATTCACTTGTGATCATACTTGGTAAAATTGCAGCCAACGTGTGGTCGACTTAGCTCATCTGGTAGCAAGCAAATGGCCTGGTTCAGCTGCAGAAGGGAGCGGAGACGCCTTAGAGGACTACTGCAAGACAAATCCTGCAGACAAGGAATGCAAAGTCTACGAATAATCTCTCTGCTTTCTTTTCCTTTTTGAAATTCCGCATGGATGATTTTTGAAGCTAAATTGTTTCCCTTGTTCAAAAATTTATAAATGAACGAATGACAGTAAAATCACACAGTTTCGAAATCATGTGTACAGTCATATAGACTAGTTTCACCACTAACCAGGATATATTTCAACAAGGAATTCTGTTTTACATTTCAAGATCTCTGCTTAATTTCACCTCGTTAGCTAAACTAATGACATTCGATTAGGATATTTTGCCTCAATGCATCGGTCATGAAGCCGGGGGTAACATAGAGGAGGAAATATGGTGAAAACTTGAAGGATGAACGCGGAAATAAAACTTCTATGATCCATTGATTCAATATTTAGTTATGCTATCGTCTCTATTGAAGAGTCGAAGTATATGGACACCATGACCATAGAAGAACTTGTGTGTTCTATGCATGCTCATAAAGTTTTTGGCAAGCATCTGCATTTTTTCTTCATACTGAACACACCCTTACAGTTACTTTTGATTCTTTTACATGGATAAGCACCTAATTGTATGATCACTTTATGTAAAAAGTTATAAACTGCTAGAGAGAAAATATTTATTTATGTTAGGTTGCAACTTGCAATGTTGAGATCAAAACAACATGGTGTCATGCGAAAGCTAACAACTGCAAACCTTGAATGACAATAAATCAATAAACTATGGAGAGATCAAGATTGTTTAATTACTACGTTGTGGATGTTATTCCCTGGAAACAATCAAAAGTTATAATTTTTCAATGTAGAGTGTTCAACTTGATCACCCTTACGGATCGTGAATCATCATATCATATCATATATATTATTATAAGTGGGAAGCTCCAAAGATGAAAAGTTGGCTTACCATTTTACCCCTGAACTAAATTAAACATCTAATTAATTAAATAATATTATTTTAATTATTTTTTGAATTGTAAGTTATTTATTAGAAAGGGAATGTGAAAGAACAAGAGTCAATTAGGATTTCTAGAATTTTAAATAAGTACATGAACCAAGATTTCCCACCTTTTAATTTACCCAGCCTAGACTAAATTAAACATCTAATTAATTAAATGATATTATTTTAATTATTTTTTGAATTGTAAGTTTTTTATTAGAAAGGGATTGTGGAAGAACAAGAGTCAATTAGGATTTCTAGAATTTTAAATAAGTACATGAATCAATATTTTCACCCTTTTAAGGAAAAATTACAAGAATATACTATTTAAATCTTGAAATCTAAAAAGTGTCACATAAATTGAGACGAAAAAATATGAAATAAGAATCAAACATTTTTCTAAAAGCCATTTTCCCTCTTAGAACACAAACTTTTTCTACGTCTCTTTTGTTGGAAAGTTGGTAGGTGGAAATTTAGATTCAAAAGTCGTTATATGTCCTGTCAACTTCATAATATATGGTTATTAAATTTGTACTTTAAAAATAAATAAAGATATAAATTCATCTTAATTATTTTAGTCTATTGTGTTTTCATATTCTTATCATTCATTAAACTTTGATGTCCAGGTCAATTTATGCGCTTTGATCATATCTTTATATGTGTTCTAAATCAGATATTATTTTAACAATGTTATATATATTTTATGCAGAGAAGGAGAACTAAAATCAAATATTGTATAACTTATCGTGGGGCCTTTTAGAAAAGTTATTGCTTTCTGAATTTTTTTCCATGAATCTAAGGCTGCAACGGAGAATCTACGAAGAAACGCTAGCTATATGCTTAACACATGCAAATCGAACACTTGAGTTTGGTTTTCCCCGAAAAACAATGAAATAAACTCTTTTTTTTAGTAAAGCTGAGTCTTTTAAGTAAGTCCAAAAAGCATTAAAGTCAAGCCTTTAACTTTATTGTTCAAGCTAAAGCCTCTTGACCTAAAGAGAGGGGCAAGTGAGAGTTCTAACAATTCTCTTTCTTTCCGTCTGCGAGGGGTGGATCCACGTGGGTTTCAGGAGGGGGTTTACCTGAGTTTCTTCTGTAAAAATTATATTGTATAGTAAAATTTATGTAGATATATTAATTTTGAACTTTTTTATGAATAAGAAGCAAGTTGTAGTGTAGTGGTAGATCTCCTTTTAAATTGACTCTTGCTTTTGTGGTTCAAAACCATTGTGAACATTTTATTTTTTTAGCTTCTCTTCATTTAGTTTCAAGATAAATCTTTCACTTTTTTTTTTTGTTTTTTTTTTTTAAAAAAAAGGGGTTATAAGAGTGGATTTAAACCTAAAAAAATTCAAACATGCTAAGATAAGAAGTCTCTTGTAATGGAACTAACTTTTTGTATCTATAAACTATGTACTATATATTACTTCCTTGGAATTGGATTTTATTGACTTATTCACACGTTTATATTTTATTTTTTGAACCCCAATAAAAAACTTGAATCCGCCATTTTCTTACTTGAATGATATGCTAAATGTTATGTGGAGATTGTTTCTTCCTCCCTTCTTAGGAGTCGTTTGATTTGAGTATAGAAAAAGAATTAAACCCAATATAAATTCTTGTATAAAATAAATGGGAAAATGCATAAGTACCTCCCAGCCTATGCCCAAAATGAGACACACCTAACCTTTACTAATGTCTTATTACCCCCAAACTTATTTTATATATAATTTTTACCCCTTTTGGGCCTACATGACACTATATTGTGGGTCCAGCGCGTGTTGACAATTTTTTCAAGGATAGTGCCACGTAGGCCGAAAAGAGGTAGAAAATTAATTAAAAAAATAAGTTCAGGGGGGTAATAGGACCTTAGTAAAGGTTAGGTGTGTCTCAGGGATTTTGGGCATAGGCTGGGGGTACTTATGCATTTTCCCTAAAAAAAATATATTATTTGAGTATAGAAAAAGAATTAAACCCAATATAAATTCACCTTTATCCCCACAACTTTCATCTCCACCTATACCTGTCGTAATATTTATTTAAAAGATTTCTTTTACTTACTTAACTAACATAAAAAAAAAAAAAAAAAAAAAAACTCAATTATTTGCATGAAAGATATTTTCCAATAAAATTTGTACGGAACACTTACACCTTATCTGCTAGACTTTTGACTATTTTCATGACAGCATTCAATGAGAGGTGAGAGACATTCTATTGCAACTTCCCATATTCTTCGTTACGAGTTCATTATTCATCGAGTTACAAATAATGTATTACTGTCTTCAGTATTTTTTTCATTTTAAAATATTACTACTATTTTTCGAATTGTGCGTCACTAATCCTTAGAGATTTCTGAATCATAAAAAAAAATTGGTAGTCTTTGTGGTACACATTTCAATAGACATTCTCAAAGAGTGTTTTTACCAGAGCTCTTTTTTCAGGTATTTTTTTTTTCTCAAAAAAATCTAATGTTGGTTTGTTCATAAAATTGTTTCTTGTTTTGCTACTATATTGTTAAAGGTAAATTCAGAATTTAAGTTTTATGAGTTTAATTTTTTAAATATTTTTAGTATTCAATTCATTGGATTTTTAAAAGAGTATGTTTTGCCTCAAAAGTACTGTACTCATTTTTTATTTATATATGGTTAAAATTATTTTTGATGTATATGTTGCGTAGATGTTGATTTACTGTTTATGGGTACTTATTTCATAATTATAGTCAATTTTCTGTTAATATGTGGTGAAGGGTTTAGGGTATTGACTTGTTGTCCATTCGAGTAGGGGTAGTATTACTCTTGTTTCTTATTCTTTGATTTCTGTTTATTATATGTTGTTTCGTATAGTTTGATTATAGTACTATTTTATTGTACGGAGTAGTATTGCGCTGTTTATTATTTGTTGTTTCCTTTATTTCCATTACTTTTTTTTCCTAGACAATTTTTATCTTGAGTTGAGGGTCTATCAGAAACAACTGTTCTACCTAGAGATCAGATCTGCATACAGTCTATCCTTTCAAGATCCCATTTTCTGGGACTGGGTATGTTGTTGTATGGTGAAGGGCTTAGTTTTGAATTCTGAGTTTCATGATAAAATTTGATGTAAATGTGACTTAATCTGTAGATGGGTTTGGTTAATGTTCTAGAGTTGCTTAGATCTATGTCTTGGATAATTGGCATTTAGGGAAGCACGATGCGTAAAACATCCCATGTTTACAAAGGGTCACGGGGAGGTCCGCATACCAAGGGGTGTGATGTAGACCTATGTTGCTTAGAGCCCGTTTGGATTAGCTTAAAAAAAATAGTTTTTAAATAAAAAATACAAAGTCAAACAGAAATGACTTTTAAGTCAAAATATAAAAAGTAGGGGGAGATCTACTTTTGATTTCTAACTTATTTTAAGTCATTTTTTACCTTGTCAAACACTTCATATATATTATTTTGAGTCATTTTTGACTTATTTTAAGTTATTTTTTATATTTGTCAAACACTTCCAGAAGTAAAAAACTGACTTAAAAGTAGATTTGATCAACTTTTAAGCCAATCCAAACGGGCTCTTAGACTCTTCAAAAATATCGATGGGTTCGTGTTGGATCCTTCAAAAAGTAGTGAATTTTTGATAAATTAATACAATATATTGATAAATTGTTTGATGCTAGCTAGTATTTTTTAACGGTTCATCCTTAATTTGTTTATATCTGAGTGTGAGTTCAACACGACAATCCTGGTTACAATAACATGAGGAGAAGAAGTGTCTATTTTAGTTCACTGTTTTAATTAAACTAGTCTTAAGTGAATATCAGGTCCTTGATCTTGTAACAATTTTGGCTGTTTTTCTTGAGGCAAGGGTCTATCGGAAACAGCCTCTCTAGCTCTCTGAGGTAGGGGTAAGGCATGTGTATACTGTACCTTCACCAGTTGTTGTTGTGGTTTTTTGACAATTTTCTCCGGATCAACTTGTAGGTTTGGATCTTCATAATATTCGCTGTTGTTCTTGCCTATTGCATCCTTGTGGACAAATGGAGCTGGCAGCAGTAGCTTCTGTGGTGGTAGAGAAACTAAAGATGTCTGACGAGATAACAGACAAAACGGTGATAGAGGAAGCCTTAATAAAAATGCAACGCGTCATTGCTGACACAACTGAGGAGGAAAGAAATAGTGATGCATTTAAGAGTTGGGCTGAAAAGTGTCTGCATAGTCTGTACTATGTTGAGGAC